AACGCTATGGCAACAAGGATGGCATTATTCTGGAACTGAATAGGAGCCTACAAATCTGTTTGGCAAGAGGACCAGCACCGCAGATCAACGACAGTTGTGGGACAAACTTTCAGCTATAGCAACGAAAAAACAATAGTGAGTGGACACTGGACCAATGGCACAAAGCCATTGATGACATCATATCGCAGGAGGAGCAAATGAACCACATGCCTCTGTCGATACACAAACGAGAAACTATTCGAACCAGAACACGGTGGCGATGAAAACACCTTCAAAACCAACCGGTAGATGGAAAGCAAGCAACTTATGTGAGTGCTGTGGAGGTAACGGACACAGGTGGACAAGCTGTTTGCAAATTCCCACAGCAGCACAGAAGAAATGTTTCTTGCTTGACACTGGTAGGTGTCTCAGCTGCGGATCGATGGATCATAGAGTAGTTTCATGCTTTAGCGGCAACCGAAAGTGCGGCAAAAAACATAATACGGCGATATGTTCCGAACAAAAACCGGGGGAAAGCGCGCACCGATCACAGCGAGATCAACAGAAGTGGACAGAGCCACTAAGAACATTCAAAAATCTGCCGAAGACGCCAGCAAGACCTTGCAGTTCTACTAAACAGCGTATGATAACGGAGACATTTAGACAAGGAACTCAAGACACTACACAGGAAGCAACGGAAAATTCTGAAGAAGGAAGTCCGTCAGTGCTACTACTCAGGGGAAAAATTCATATCGGTAACTTGTCAAACCCGTCTTTGGACAATGAAAATACGAAGAAGACAGTGGTGGCTACAGGCAGCGACGTGAACGAACTAAAACGGCAGGCTTTTTCATTTGCGCCATTGCCATCGCCTATCTCGGATAATCAACCTCCAGTCAAAAGACCACCAATTGCAGTCGCTAATGCAACGTTATCAAAGGACAAGTATTTGTCGTCAAGTCCAAACTCTAGCTTGAACGTGCAATCTTCAATTCACTCAACTACCGCGAAAGCACAGGCAAAGCCTGCTGTCCTGCACTCAAAAAGGCTTTATTTCCTTAGCAGCACCGACATCATCGATGATCCGTTTACGAAGATCACTGCACAATCTGATGTTTTTGCAACAAGACCAAACCTAAACCTGAACGTATGCGCTTTAAAGAATGAAGGCAAAACGATGCACAAAGCCTGGGAGGAGTTTCTGGAACTCAAAGAAGACGTCAGACGACAGCAGCAAGATAGACTCGATGCAAAAAATGGACCGGTACTTCGAAACCTTCAAAGCTTGGAACATGAAGAATGGAACCGACGCCGTTCGACAAGAGATCCAAGAAAATAATTCGGAGGCGCAAAAGGGATCTGCTTTCGGAGAACAACAGTCATCAAAATTGGATAGGAAGGAAAAATCGGCGTGCGAAGGCGAGACAAGAAGCAAAGCAGTAATGAAGAAAAGCAAAGGAACATTTTAGCTCCTACACTATCACAGAAGAGAGAAGAAAGCAAAAGTTGTACAAAATGTTTGAGAAAGTCCACACAAAGAAGAAATTTTTTCGGCGATGGAAAAGGAAAATGCAAGAGAATCGAACAACGCCAGCTACAGATGAAGAAAATTAAGCTGAATTTGAGCAAATTCTCCTGCACAGGAAAACGCACTGAGTGTACTTGAACTGCCAAGGATCTTGGAAACAGCGTTCAGATGCTTGCTTGAAGTTGCATGAAGACACAAGAAGAATCGAGGTTCAGCACGAAAGGGAACTTTGTACCCGAGGTTCGTAGTCCGCCACGGTGAGGACCGCGCAAAACAAGTTCCGTGTTTCTACTGTAGAAACATTAGAGCCGATGCTGCTCTAAACAATCATGCTATTCTGCAGGCCGCTTGAGGAGAATGCCCATAGCAAGGGAAGCGAAGACGTCCAAGGACAGCATGAAAATGATTTCCAAACGCAAAGATGCTTGGAATGAAAAGAAACGCACAGTGGTGTGGAACGCGAAGAAAGGAAGACAAAAGGCGAATGCTGCAATCCAGTTGTATAGCAAAGACGATTTCAGTAGCTCGCTTGTTTTTGCTGTTGTAGGGATGTGCAGATGTCAGATGTTAGCATCAGATGTGACTTCCACATTTCTTTGGTGTATGTGAATCCTT